ACCCCAGGGTCTCCAGGCCGGAGACCTCCCGAGCGCTGCTGTGGACGGGGAAGGTTGGCGATGCGTCGGCGTTCCGGGTCTGGGGATCTCGGGCGTTTGTCCGCGACTTGTCTGCGGACAAGCTGTCCCCTCGCGCTGCTCCCCGCGTCTTCCTGGGGTTCCCCCCCGACGCCCCCGGGTGGCAGTTCTACCACCCCACCTCTACACGTGTTCTGTCCTCCCAGGACGTCACGTTTGACGAGTCGGTACCCTACTACCGCCTCTTCCCCCACCGCACTCCGTCCCTCCCCCCGCCCCCGCTCTTCTTGGTACCAGGTCCCCCCCCGGTAGACCCCCTTCCCCCTCAGGGTCCTGCCCCTTCAGGTGTGTCCCAGGTAGACGCGGTCGAGCCGGTCGAGGTCACTGGTGACTCTGGTGCGGCTGCGGGAGCTGAGCCTGGGGGTGCTGAGACTGGAGGTGCTACGCCTGTGGGTGCTGAGCCTGGGGGTGCGGAGTCTGGAGGTGCTGAGCCTGGGGGTGCTGTGCCTGGGGGTGCTGAGCCTGGGGGTGCTGGGCCTGGGGGTGCTGAGCCTGGAGGTGCTGAGCCTGGGGGTACTGTGCGTGAGGGTGCTGAGCCTGGGGGTACTGAGCCTGGGGGTGCTGAGCCTGGGGGTACTGAGCCTGGGGGTGCTGAGACTGGGGGTGCTCCGCCTGGAGGTGCTTCGTCTCGCCGAGAGCCACTCTCCCCTCACGAGCTACGTGAGTGGTTTGCCAGACGCTGGAGGCGTGGTGCTGGTGCTGGAGGTTCTTCGGCTGTAGAGGGTACTACTGCCGAGCGTCCCGGCGGTGCTCGTACTGTGGGTGCTGGAGCTCCTGGGTCTGAGGGTTCTCCTGGAGCTGGTGCTGCTGAGGGTGTTGACGCTGAGACTGCCGCTGGAGGTCCGACTGGCGGTGCTCCTGCTGGTGCTGCTGGAGGTTCGGGAGCTACTGGAGGTGCTACTGGAGCGGGTACTCCTGCTGGGGGTACTGGTGCTGTCCCTGCTGTTTCTGGCGTCGCCGCTCGGCCCCGGCTGTACTTCGTTCCGCTCCTGCAGCAGGTTCTTGGTCTTACACCTTCTCCTGGTCCTCCTCCTCCTTCCTTAGAGGGTCCACAGCCTTTCTCGTCACAGTCACAGCTACAGCCTGCCTCCCCTTTGCCTGCTCCTTCTCCCTACGCTGGTCCGACTGGAGGTCTTACTGAGCGTCGTGAGCCTGCGTCTCGTCCTGCGTCGCCTGTTCGTACTGCACGCGCTAGTGGTCGCGGTTCGCGTCAGCGTCCTCCTCCTGTCCCTGGCACGCACCGGATGTCTCTGCGTCCGTCCACTGCTCCTCTGCGTGCCCCTTTGCCTTCTCCTCCTACTTCGTCTCTTCCTGCTCTTGCCGACCCGGAGTCGGACTCTCTTCGTGCTGCCAGTCCCACTGTCACGCGTCTCCTTGCTACTGCTGTCACTGACCCTTCCTTCGAGTCTTCTGCTGCGTCTGCCCTTGTCACTGAGCTTGTCGACTTTGCTCCGCGCTGTCGTCTAGACTACGCTGCTAGTCTTGTCGCTGAGTCTGAGTCTGCCTGTCCTCCGTCCGTCGGGGGTGAGTGTGCCCTAGGCACGGACGTCCTTGAGGACAGGCAGGAGGAGTTCCAGTGTCTGGCCGCCGCTTCACCTCATCTCGCGTCTGTACTGCTAGCCCCTAAGGGAGACCCGGATGCACTAGACATCCCGACTCCGCGCTCTTACGCGGAGGCGATAGAGGGTCCCTACTCCTCTCAGTGGCAGGCAGCTATGGATGCAGAGATGGCTTCCTGGAAGTCCACAGGCACCTACGTCGACGCTGTTCCCCCTCCTGGGGCGAACATCGTCAGTGGCATGTGGATTTTCAGGGTGAAGCGGCCGCCGGGTTCTCCGCCTGTCTTCAAGGCGCGTTACGTGGCTCGTGGCTTCAGTCAGCGGCAGGGGGTTGACTACTTTCAGACCTTCTCCCCCACCCCGAAGATGACCACTCTTCGGGTACTGCTGCACGTTGCTGCTCACCGTGACTACGAGCTACACTGTCTCGACTTCAGCACAGCTTTCTTGCAGGGCAGCCTGCACGAGGAGATCTGGCTGCGTCGCCCACCTGGCTTCACTGGGTCTTTCCCTCCTGGTACCCAGTGGAGTCTCCGGCGTCCAGTCTACGGTCTCCGCCAGGCGCCACGTGAGTGGCACGACACACTGAGGACTACGCTTGCGGCTCTTGGGTTTGCTCCTTCTACTGCCGACCCGTCGTTGTTTCTGCGCACCGACACCTCTCTGCCGCTGTTCTACATCCTCGTGTACGTCGACGACTTGGTCTTTGCCACAGCGGACACTGCTGGACTCGCTTACGTGAAGTCAGAGCTGCAAAAGAGACACACGTGCACTGACATGGGTGAACTGCGCAGCTAACTTGGCTTGCAGATCACCCGGGACAGAGCACGCCGCACCATTACCCTGACTCAGTCACACATGGTGCAGCAGGTCCTTCAGCGCTTCGGCTTCACGTACTCCTCGCCTCAGGCCACTCCTCTGCCTACTCGCCACTCGCTCTCAGCTCTGCCTTCGGATGAGTCCGTAGAGTCGAGTGGCCCGTATGCAGAGCTTGTTGGCTGCTTCATGTACCTGATGACCTGCACACGACCTGACCTTGCATACCCTCTCAACATTCTCGCACGCTATGTTGCTCCTGGGAGACACCGACCAGAGCACATGGCTGCAGCGAAGAGGGTGTTGCGCTACTTGTGTAGTACGTCGGGCATGGGGCTAGTGCTTGGAGGGCGCAGTCCAGTGGTCCTCACTGGGCACGCGGACGCTTCTTGGGCTGACGACCAGGCTACACAGCGGTCGTCACAGGGTTACACCTTCAGCCTTGGTTCCGGCTCTGTCTCGTGGCGGGCTACTCGCTCGTCTTCTGTTCTCGGCTCCAGTTGTGAGGCTGAGATCTACGCCGGGGCTATGGCTGCTCAGGAGCTTCGCTGGCTCACCTACCTGCTGACCGACCTTGGAGAGCCGCCTCGTTCTCCTCCAGTCCTGTACGTAGACAACAAGGCCATGCTGGCCTTGTGTCGAGAGCAGCGACTGGAGCACAGGACAAAGCACATTTCTCTCCGCTACTTTCTTGCTCGTGAGCTGCAGCAGCGTGGACAGTTGCGACTTGCGTACGTGGCCTCTGAGGCCAACACTGCTGATGTCTTCACCAAGGCACTTGCGCCTTGTGATCATCAGCGTTGCTGCACGCAGCTGGGTCTTGTGCCTGTCTTGTCTCACTTGCTCACTTCTTGACCTTGCTTGTACCTTGACCTATATATACTCTTGCTCTTGCTTGCTTGACTCTTGTATATCTCTATATATGATCTTGCATGCGAACTGGCCTTGTGGCCCTTCACCTTGTGCTCGGAATGTGTGGTGACTTTGTGATCCACCCTGAGCTTTGCTTTGCTTTGCTTGACTGGTCTTGTGACCCCTTGTTCTCCCCCACTTTGCCTATGGGGGTGTGTCAGAACATTATAGCTTACTTGTTTGTGTAGGCTATAGTGGGGTATCCCATAGGGGGTACAACCCAGTTAGGGTTTCCTATTTGTACTCACCTCGTTCGTAGTCAATTCATTCACGTTTCTATTTTCACATATATCCCCTCCTCGATTATAAGCGCACCCCTTGAAAAAACTTGTTTTATGATAAGCGCACGTAAACTTTAAAATTTGAAATGTGTTCATATAGCTGTAACGATTTCTACTTTAGCAGGCGGATATGTTGCAGATTCGGTTCCCTTCACATTCGGACCCTGCACTGGATGCGGGTCCAGTCAGCAGGACCTGTCAGGAGCTGGATGTGAGTCAGATTGGGTGTATCTCCCAGTGCGCGCGAGAATTTCACAGACGATCCCATGTAACTTCGACTCGATTGAAAAGGCAAGCACGAGACCTACAGTTTGGTGTTAAAAGATATAAAAAAATATGTATGTCATTTTATAAACGCCGGCGCTTATAAATTTACTCGGTTATTAGCCCACCCCCATGAAAAAACCTGTTTTATTATTGCCCCCCATGGGGGTATATCCGGGGGGAGACGGTAAGAGTACAAGGAGTGCGAAGAGATACGGTTGTAACTACTTTTACTGTTGCTGTTGCGGTTCGATACAGTGACGACTCGGGCAACTGCTCTGTAGCGAGTCAGTTGTGTGTCCTTGCTGTCGCGCTGTACTTGTCAGGTCAAAGGTCGCTGACCTTTGACTTTCGAGTAACCTCCAGCGGTTACTTCAACCTCCGAGGGTTGACTCGCCGGTGCTTCGGTATGCTTCGCTTCGCTTGTGCCTTAGTGTTTCGACACGACAGAGGCGCTTAGGACCGATTGTTTCCAACACGGCCTACCCTCGGCCGCTGCTTTGGCACCACGTTACAAGCCAGGAGAGCTACCCCTGAGTGACCAATAGCCCCGCCGTAGGGACGTCGTTGATTCCTAGAGCTTCCGCTGCGCTCTAGCGACTTCTTATTTCCAACACTACGGACCTATTGCTCTGAAACAATGTCAAAAACTAACAAGCAAGAATGATAGTATTGACATCAAACTGAGTACAATTATAACCCTAATTGGGCTGTACCGCACCCCATATAGGCTACCCCACTACAGCCTACCCCAGCTGAAACCAAAGCACACTCTAGAATATCTAACCCCAAAACCCTGTTGCCACATAAACCTGCTAACCAGCATGTTAGATACACACTCGTTGCTTCCAAGCCTGAGGCTGGCAAGCAGTGCAGCAGGCAGAACCAAGAGAAGCCTATCTCTGTCCTCTTAACGAGGCTGAGGAGAAGATTAGAAGGTGCAACGGTGATTATCCAGAGGACGTTGGGCGTGGCATGACTTGAGGTTCTAGTGATGTGTAATTGCTGTCAAGCGACGTGGGGTGATGATGCCGGGTAGATAAGCCAGTCAGAGGGAGTTAGGAAGTTGGGCGTGGCACGGCTCGGAGTTCTAGTCATCTTCGTCGTCGTCCTCCGGCTCAAAGTCTGGATCAAGAAAGACATTAGTGCAATGTACGATGCAGAGTCGATGCAAGGAACGTGCAAGGAAGTCGTGAGTAAGGTGCAAGGAAGGTGCAAGATCCAAGGATGATGCTTGCAGAGCGTGGTTATTCATGGTCTGGTCTGGAGACAATATGACTGGATGGAATAATACGTGCACATTGAAATTAGCATCAAGGATTGGACGAGAACAGATACCAGATGCCAGAAAAGCACATGCAGCGATGCAGTGATGCTGTGATGCTGTGATGCTGTGATGATGCGATGCTGTGATGATGCGATGCTGTGATGCTGCGACGCAGTGATGCAGTGATGCTGTGGGCATGACGCGTGGAAAAAACAGGAAGCAGCATGCACAAGACCCTGCCCCCCTCCACCCCACCTGGCCAGGATCCTCCCATCACAATTCCACAACACCACTCTCCCTGTCCCCGTGTCCCACCTTCCGAGTCATTCTCCTCCTCTTCCTCCTCTTCCTCCTCCTCGTCCTCATCCTCTTCGTCTCCCTCCTCCTCTTCCTCCTGTCCCTCCCCATCCTCGCTCCCCCCAGCGCCCTTTCTAGGCTTTGAAGGCGGTCGGGGCGGGGGTTGAGGGGGAGCGAAGGAGGTGGGGCGAGAGGAGCGGCGCCCCCGGGGTGCATCCACAATGTTGCTCACATCAATCCCCTCCAGCTCCTTCGCCTTGTCCCTGCGTCGCCTGAATGCCTTGATCTCTGTGTAAAGCACAAGTGGTTGGGGAGGGAGGGGAAAGAGAGGGGAGGTGGGGAGGACAACGCAAGGATGTATGGTTAGAAGTTGATCGGAAGGAAGGGGGAAAGGGTGGAGGAGGTCTTGAGGAGCAACGCCCTCTGGGTGCATCCATGATGTGATAGATGTGCCCATGCACTTCCACTCTCCCCTCTCCCCTCTCCCCGTCTCTCCCCTCTCCCCTCTCCCGCCCCCCCTCCCCCCTCGTCCCCTACCCCCCCACCTCCTCCTCCCGTTCACCATTCTCGGATGGGTGGGAGGAGAGCTCTTGGAACTCTAGCACTGCCTCCAGCTCCCACACCAGCACCAAGTCAACCGGCCCTGCACACACAACGCCAAGCACCTTCCCTCCCCCCTCACCCCAATCCTCCCCTCTTCCCCAACACGCACCCCCTCCTCCCCGTACCTCACTCTTCCCTCCCGGGCACCTTTCTCCGATGGGTGGGAGGAGAGCCCTTCGCGGTCCAGCAGCGCCTCCAGCTCCCCCACCAGTGCCGTCTCACCCAGCCCTTCACACATCACACCAAACACTTTTCCTCCCCCCTCACCCCAAACCTCCACTCTTCCCCCACACGCACCCCCTGCTTCCCCAATACTCTGCTCCCCCCCACCAACCTTTCTCCGATGGGTGGGAGGAGAGTCCTTCACGGTCCAGCAGTGCTTCCAGCTCCCCCACCAGTGCCGCCTCGTGCTGCCCTGCGCTCGCTGCCTCGCCTGCTGCCTGCCGCGCCTTCTTGTACACGTTGGGTGGCACCCTGGGGCAGCCGGGAATGACGGGGAGAAAGGAAAAAGGGTGTTATTTGAAAGTGGCCATGTCATTCATTGCTAACTCGCCTGCTGCCTGCCGCGCCTTTTTGTACACGTTGGGTGGCACCCTGGGAAGGCCGGAGACGGACGAGGGGAGAGGCGAAGGGGGCAAATTTAAAGGCGCAAGTGTCCATCATTGATGCCTCGCCTGCGCCAGTCTGCTATTCTTCTGGTCTGGCCCATGATGGATGCACCTTGAAAAGATGGGGGAGGGATGGATAAGGTGGGGGGTATCTATGCGCACCGAAAAAAGAGACGTTCGGGATCGACATGCCATACAATCTTATGCCATGTTATGCCATGCCATGCCATCCCATGGCATCTGATAAACTTCTACACTATGCCAGACCACGCTACATTCCTATGCCATCCCATTTCAATGCTATGGTAAAGCAGAGGCCATGCCATGTATAAGCATACCATCACCATCGTCACTATCAGAACCCTCTTCACAAACACCATCACCACAACTCCTGCAACACAAGCCTGCAACACAAGCCTGCAACACAAGCCTGCAACACAAGCCTGCAGCACAAGCCTGCAGCACAAGCCTGCAGCACAAGCCTGCAGCACAAGCCTGCAGCACCTGAATCCTGAGTCCTGCCACTTGTGCCTTCCACTTACTCCTGCCACTCGCTCCTGCTGCCACTGAGGCAGCCCCACAGCTCGTTACCACTGCCCCTGGCGCCTCACCTGAGCCCACATGCCTGGAACACCTTCTTTAGCCTCTCCACTGCTGCACTGCGCGGTGCTGCTGCTGATGACTGCAGAGCCAAGGGGGGCGAGAGCAGGGAGGGGAGGGGAGGGGAGGGGAGGGGCGGGAAGGGGGGAGAGGGCGAATTGTGGGGTGGGGGGAGGAAGCGGGAGGAATTGATGGGAAACAAGGAAAATGTCGCCAGTGAACGAAGAAGAAAGAAGCGCATATTGTTCAAGAAGATGAGGACGGGTATGAAACTGCCCATGCACACAGGACCGCATTTTCATTTGCCAGAGGCAGGCAAAACAGCTGCCTGCTCTCACAAACTGCATGCTCTCACAAGCTGCATGTTTTTACAAACTGCATGCTCGTATCGTACGGTCTTGCTCACACACAAGAATCAGGACTGGCACCTTTGCAACACGACGAGACAAGCTGAAAGTTGAATGTTCTCTCCTCGCAAGCACGCATATTTGCTACTTGCAAGGACTTGCTACTCAAAACGGCCCCACTACACACACACACACACACACACACACACACACACACACACACACACACACACACGCACACACACACACAAACAAACAAGAAATCCTCGACAAACAGGGAAACAAACAAGCAAGCAAACATGTAAACAGCGAGCAAGCATCTACTGACACGTGTTCCGTCCTCATCAGCAACCCTGGGCTCCTTCCTCACCTTGCTGCTGCCACTGCTCCTGCTCCTCCCACTTGACTTCCGTCTGTCCCTCTCGTCGTCTCCGCTGCTCCCCTCCTCCTCCTCTCCCTCCCCGTCTCCTTCCTCGTCATCTTCATCCCCCGCTCGCTTGCTCTTTCCCACTGCAGGTTTCTCCTTCCTTTTCTTCCCCTTCTTCCTACTTCTCGCCTCCGCGCTGTCTTCATAATCTGCCTCCTGCTCCTCCTCGGCTCGCTCGTCGCCATGCCCTCTCGGCCGTTTCTTCTTCCCTTTCCTAGTCTTCTCCTCTTCCTCCTCCTCTTCCTCCTCCTCTTCCTCCTCGTCTTCCGCCTCTTCCTTCTCCTCCTCATCCTCCCCCTCGGGCCTCTCTTCCTCCTCATCCTTCTCACCGTTAGCCTCGCTCCCATCCCTCCCTTCCTCCGCGCCGTTTCCCTCTTCCCCCCTCACTTCCTCCTCCTTCTCCTCCTCTTCCTCCCCTTGCTTCTCGTCATCCTCCTCCTCCTTCCCCTTGCGACCTTGCCGTTTATCCTTCCCGCCAGCCTTCTTGCCTGCCTTTGCCGGCTTCGCCCCACTGCCCACCTTCTTACCAACTCTTTCTTTTTCCCCTTTGTCGTCCTTCTCATCCTTCTCGCCTTGTGCCTCATCAACATCCCCTTCATCAGAAAACAGCTGCACGCATGGCAGGCCAAACCCAATGGGACGGGCAGGATGCAACACGATATGCTCAGCGATTACGGAACAGATTGGCTTTTTTCTTTTGCCTTTTTTTTTCCCCCTTTTTTTTGCCTTTTCTTTCTAAACCTCGGTCCAAACTGCAAGCCTAGTGCGCTGCACTTCATTCTCCGTATGCACCATCCAGGCAACTGCATCATCACCCCGTATGCACCTGGTCAACGAGGTCAACGAGGTCGCGCACGCACCTGGTCAACGAGGTCACGCACGAGGTCCTTGTGCGCGTTCAGCGCGCCCGCCGCCAGCCCCATGTCGCCCTCCAGCGCCAACCGCACGGCCTTGAGCGTCATCGTGCTGCGCGGGGGGAACGCGGAAAGATGGGGGAAGGGGAAGGATGACCGCCGATCTCTTGAGTGGCTTAATTCGTCGAGAAGAGACGCGCGAGGCAGCGAAACGCAGCTGGATGGACGTAACATTGCATCTAGTCTCATCGCAATGCAATTCGTCTCCTCTCGCCTCCCCTCTTGTCTCCCGTCTCCTCTCGTCTCTTGTCTCCTCTCGTCTCTCGTCTCCTCTCGTCTCCTTTCGCCCTCTCTCCGCATCTTGCGCCCGATCTCGTTTCATAAAGTCTCATCTGCGCCTAAAAGTCACTTGCCGAGATCCAGCCGCCAAAGCCGTGCAAGCTAATGACACGATCTGCAAGCAGTCAGCCCCTTGGCGGTACGAGCCGGGGAGTGAACTCACTCGGCCTGCTGCTTGAAATCATCGGCGCGCCGCTTGAAAGCCGCTTCAATCTCGTCCGCCTGCACGGCGCCCATGTTTCCTCGCGTCACGAAGAAGGGCGGGTCGAGTCGCGCTTCTGCTTCGAAAGAGAAAGCGGGGAGGAGGCCGACGGTACGAGGGGAAACGAACCTAGGCAATCTACGGGAGCAGAAAGGCAATTATAACTGTTAAAACACGGAACGGTGCACTGTCGAAGAATGGTACAATCGCACCGCACGCCACTCCACAGTCCTCACGGACAGGACAAGAGGGAGCGAGGGTGGCAGTTTATGTGCTGTGCCACTCCCCTGTCCTACCCTCGCAGAATTGTTCAGAATTTCACCATTTCAAATGTTTGAACAGGATGGTTGAACCCGCTATGCTCCAACACTACTAAGAGTATGTGCTCTGGAATATAGTATCTCCCTGTTTATTTTTCACTCAAATACTACCCCTTATTCCTAATTCTGTTTTTTAAGTTAGAAGAAGAAAGAGGGATGAATTAGCAGAAATGGGGATACAAATAGCAAACCCTAGAAGGGTTGTACTCGCTATAGAGCACCCCACTACAGGCTAGAACATAAGAATAATATTCTGACACACCCCCATAGCCAAAGTGGGGTGTAATCAGCAGAGCAGGCAAAGTAGTACAAGCTCAGGGTGGATCACAATGTCACCACACATTCTGAGCACAAGTTCAAGAAGAGATAGTTTAGAGTTCACAATTATAAGCAGAGCTAGTGGTAGTCACAACGGGCAAGTAAGGAGGAGAGAGAGTGAGGGGAGAGGAGATAGGAGGCGACGGCTGAAGCTGCAGGCACACGGGCAACAGGAGGCACACTGGCACAGCGGCTACCGGACAGCGCCCGGACTGCAGGAGTAACAGGCCCCGCGGCTCAAATAGTGGCGGACGGGCAACGGACCCACGGGCGGCTGGCACAGCTGGCTACGACTGGGCTACCGGGACAGCGCCCCGGACTACAGGTGCTGCGAACGACAAACTGACAACCTCCACTCAACCTCCCGCACACAGTCCCACCCCCCTGATGCACACCCACTGCTACACTGCTACCTGCACTCCCACGCACCCCCCTTAAACCCTAAACCCGAGTCTCCCACACAACCACCCCCCTCAGCGACAGCTGCAGCAGTGGGAGACGAAGGAGGAGGAGGAGCAAAGGGAGGAAGGCACACCGAGCACCCCCATACCCGCCACCCCACAGCGGCCCCCGAAGGAGCCGCGACGGGCGACGGGAAATGGCAGGGGGAGGGGGGGGGGGGGGGGGGGGGGAGGCGGTGTGGTGAAAGGGGCCCACCACGGGCCTGGTTGGAGGGCGGGGCCGCGACAAGGGGCGGGGCCGCGACGAGGGGCGGGGCCGCGACGAGGGGCGGGGCCGCGACGAGGGGCGGGGCCGCGACGAGGGGCGGGGCCGCGACGGTCGGGCAGGGCCGCTTCGAGGGGCGGGGCCGCGACACAGGGCGGGGCCGCGACGTAGGGCGGGGCCGCGACGGTCGGGGCGGGGCCGCGACGTAGGGCAGAGCTGCTTCGAGGGGCGGGGCCGCGACGCAGGGCGGGGCCGCGACGTAGGGCGGGGCCGCGACGTAGGGCGGACGCCCGCGAAGGTAGGGCAGACGCCCGCCGCGCGCCTCGGGGCGCACAGCGGGCAAAGAACCGCCGCGCGCCCCGGGGCGCACGGCGGGCAGAAAACCGCCGCGCGCCTCGGGGCGCACGGCGGGAAGGAAAACCGTCGCGCGCCTCGGGGCGCACGGCGGGAAGGAAAGGTAGCAGCGGAAGCGAGGTGGAAACCCACCCACAGGATCGATCCAAGGGGATCGACCTGCTCTGATACCATGACAAAAGTTAGAAGAAGAAAGAGGGATGAACTAGCAGAAATGGGGATACAAATAGCAAACCCTAGAAGGGTTGTACTCGCTATAGAGCACCCCACTACAGGCTAGAACATAAGAATAATATTCTGACAATTATGTTATTCCGCAGGATTAGGCATACAGCTTTCAAATGGACGGCTGCAAAGAGGACAGAAAATATGCCAATGGTAGCTATTGGGGCTCAATACCGCGTACGGTCACCGTTACGGTATATTTTCACGTCCTTGGTAGCTCGTTTCACACATTTGTGTCGGAAACTGAATATGATGAATGATGGGCATACAGAGGGGGTTAGAAGTAGCCAACCCAACTAAACCTGTAGCATAGAAACTACACATGCAAATCCTTATGTCTATGTAAGGGACTAATGAGTGATTATTTATTAAGTGCAGACGTATATTGATTATTATGGTGGTTTTTGTCAGAACATATAGCTTGTGCTTATTGTGTAGGCTATAGTGGGGTAGCCCATAAGGGGTACAACCCAATTAGGGTTAGTACTTGTACTCAGTTCATTCATAGTTCATTCATTCTCGTTTCAATCTTCTCATGGTATCGAGCAGGTTCCCTCGTGGGTGTTGGGCTGAGAAGGCCCTTAAGGATCTTTGCAGAGGATAACTCTGGGTAGGAAACTTGTAATAGCGGAAGCGTTTAATGAATCTTGTGAACCGACCTTGCACTAGTGTGTGAGAGCAAAGTAGATTAAATTAAACAAGCAAATACAAGGTTTTATATAAGGGTACAGGGAATACGAATAGATAGATAACTGTATTGCTGTTGCTATTCGATACAGTGCGACTCGGGCAACTTCTTTGTAACGAGTCAGTTGTGTGTCCTTAACTGTCGCGCTGTAATTGTCGAGTCAAAGGTCGCTGACCTTTGACTTTCTCGTAACCTCCAAGCGATTACCCTAACCTCCGAGGTTTGACTCGATGCTTCGATTCGGACTGCTTCGCTAGTGTCTTGGGTTTTGACACGACAGAAGCGCACTAAGACTTATTGTTTCCAACACTCCCCTTCGCTTCTGGAGTGTCGTCGCAGGTGACGTGGCCTTGTCCAGTCAGCATCATGCAGTATTCGAACTTCTGCTTTCCGAGTTTCTTGGTCAAGTAATCGGCTGCCATCTCAGATGCTGGACAGTATGACAGATCGAGTTTCCCCTTTTCGATCTCGTCCTTCACGAAGAAATAGCGCAGGGCGATGGGTTTCGTCCTGTTTGCGAAGCCGTTCTTGTTGGCGATGCGAATTGCTGACTGGTTGTCGCAGAACACGGTGAAGCTGGGTAACTCGGCTAGCTTCGCTTCTTCCAGCAGTTCGCGAAGGTAAAGTCCCTCCTTGGTGGCTGAGCAGAGTGCAATATATTCCGCTTCAGCTGAAGACAGTGCGATTAACTCCTGCTTACTCGACTGCCAGGAGATAGGACCGATAGGTTCGAGGCGGTAGACATAGCCGGTGCGTGAGCGTCTGTTATCGGTGTCGCCGGCGTGATCGGCGTCGACGTAGCCGATTAGCTTGGTCGGTGTAGTTGCGTTTTTGTGATAGGTTAATCCGATCGTCGCGGTGCTGACGAAATAGTGGAGAGCGCGATCGAGTTCCGCCAGATGCTCTGCTTCAGGCTTCTTGAGATAGGTGGCGAGCTGGCTCGCGGAGTAGGATAAGTCGGGACGGCATGTGACTGCTGCGAAGAGAAGACATCCGAGCTTCTTATGATAGTCGCGTATGCCGGCGGGCTTGAGTAGAGTAGATCGTCCCTTTTCGGTTCCTGACGTGTAGCGGTAAGGCGTGGAGATGGCGCTTGGTGTGAGGCCGAAGCGTTTCGCGATGGTGTCGGCGTACTTCTCGGCGCTTAGATAGATTGCGTTTTCTTCCTCGCGGATGTTGAGCCCGAGGTACTGCGTAACCGTAGAAGAGACCGTGAGCGTGAGGTCTTTCTGAAGCTCCCCTTCGAACCACGTGGCGATGCCGTCGGTTGACCCAATGTAGAGGAGATCGTCCACGTAGACGATTAGGAGAACGTAGTCGCTTCCCTTTGTGAGGCGATACATGCCCTGGTCATGCGGGAGTTGTTTGAAACCGATGCGGATGAGGCGGGCGTGTAGGTACTGCTGCCACAGTCGCGGTGCCTGCTTGATCCCGTAGAGCGATTTAAGTAGTTGTCAGACTCGGTTGGGTTCGCCGTGGGAGCCGTGCGGGAGCTCGACGAAGATTTCTGCATCTACAGGTGCGTAGAGAAATGCGTTTGCGACGTCGATTTGTCGCAATTTCCTTTTCTTCATGGCGGCGACGGCGATGAGGATTCGGAGTGAGGTGTGACGGCTGACCGGAGCGAAGGTTTCGGTGTAATCTCTTCCGTGCTCCTGGTCAAAGCCGCGCACAACCCAGCGAGCTTTGAATTTGATGATGGTGCCGTCAGCTTTCGTCTTCACACGGAAGACCCACTTCCCGGTAAGGATAGTCTTGTTTTGTGCTACGCCGATGGGAACGATTTTCCAGGTGTTGCGCTCCTCCAGTGCCTTCAGTTCTTTGTCCATGGCTTCACGCCATTTCTCCCTGTGTTCCCCCCCCAGAGCCTGTTGAACCGTCGCAGGCTCCTTAGGAATGGTGGCGCCATGGATTGCGGTGACGAGACCAAGGATTTGCAGCCCAGTCTGTGAGTATCGAGGGAGTTCTAGATCCTCGGGATAAGCTGCTTCGTCTCCCGCTTCTGGGTCGGGTATGAAATTAGGCCCTACCCTTTCTGCTTCGTTGGTGTTGACTATCGCAGGTGTTACGTAACCATTGTCGGCGAAATGGTAGAAGACTTCGGCGTTGTTACTGTCGCGAGGGTTATCCTCATCCATGGGCACGTTGACGGAGCAGTACGGAAGAGGTCCGGCTTCCTCCGATGCGTTGTCGACGTTCTGCTCATCCCAGTCTGCTTCATCCGCTGCTGACGCGAAGGCTCGGTCACCACGAAAGCCACTGGTGAGGTCCCGATTCTCGTGCAAGTTGGCGAGGTACGTCTGAAGGGTGAGGCGTTCATAGAAGATCACATCTCGTGCTGCTACTGTTTCTTTTGTGTGGACGTCGAAGATTCTCCACGCGTTGTAATTTTTCTCGATGCCGAGGTGTAGTCCCCACTGTGCCCGTTGTGAAAATCTTCCCGCTCGTGCTTCTGGGGGTCTGT